GGTGGTACCAGTACACCTGGGGGATAGAGGCCAGGGAGGACGGCCAAGCAGAACTCATGATCCCCCCAGATGACAGCAGTGCTGAGACTGAGAAACGCTGCTCCAGTTAGAAAGACCAAGGGCGGCAGTTGCAGTCAGAATGTGTGTCTGAGACAGGATGATCAAAGCTTCCCAAACTGGGATACTGAAGCTGACTTAGCTATGTACAAAGGCTGACCATGTAGGTGCCATATCTGCCACATGACCTTCTTCTGGGTCCTTTAATTGTCATATTTAATGACCTTTTATTACATACGCCCTACTCTTTTTGTATTGAGAGATTTTTTAGGGGTCTATGCACACAATTATGTAACCTAATGATGGGACAGTTGCAACAGACAGACTTGAGTAACAATCACAGCAGTAATATACATACACGTTCTCCTTTGGGGCCTCTATCTCCAGGCTTACCCATGATGCCCTGAAAAACAGACGAACACTAGAAATCAATGCTTGCCAAGATTTTTCATCAATCTAATTGATCTAAATGTTGATGGATATTCTAGATGCGATTATCGAGTAGAATTGTTATTTTAAATGGTATTTTCCATACCTGAGCACCTGGTAATCCATCTTTCCCATTTATCCCCTATAAAAGCAAACAAAATCATTATTTCTAATTATGCATTTATACACATAAACACAACAAAAGGGTAAAGCTTCATGGTTATTTCCTTAATCCTATTTCTACTGAGATCTTGACAAAGAAAAGCATGATAAAGCATAAAGAAAAATCAATAGAAATAGACAGTCCTGAGTTCAGTTGGACTCCATTGCTTGCTAGTTCCAGTGACCTTGCTTAGGCAATGGACTTAACCTCCATAGCATCAGTGTTTTTATTTACAAAGTGAGGGGTATAATAATAGCCTTAAAACCAAGGAATATGTGACGTAACATGGAGAGTACACAGCCTACTGCGAATAGTCAGCAAAGGCTATTTTCCTTCTTTATTCTCCTGTTAGGTACATCCTACAAGATAAGAAGGTACTCTGGTACCAGGTGGCTGAGGTGTGGCATTTCTTTTACCTTCTAACAAGTTTTGTGGCACAGAGAGTTATTTTCAGTGAATGGTCTCAGTTGCCGCTGAGGAAATTTCATAACATGGTCAGAACATGATTCTTCTATGAAGTAAACTGTCAGCCAGAGAACAACTATTATTTTTCAGCTGGAAACTATGGAAGGAAACAAAAATCTATAATCATGGTTTCTGAGAGTGTTAAATAGTGACTTTTTATTGGAAAACTGGAGGTTTCCTTAACTTTAAAAGGCAGTTCTGGAAGTGGTAATAAAGTCTAGTCCTGTTTGGAGATTTATAAGACTGAGAGAAGTGTTGACTGGGAGATATGAGAAAGCAAACTGCTCTGGGTCAAATCAAATACCTAGGGTCCAACAGCAGCTGTGTTTTCAAGATCTGATTTGAAGAGGGAGATGAAGGTGAGGAATATGATTTCTTAGCCAGCAGGCAATTGCACGGCCATGCGCCTCTGAAAAGCCTGAGAGACTTTTATTGTGCTGGAATGGATTCCATGAGGCTGGAACTGCAGAAAACCGCATGTTTTCACTGCTGTAAATTTCACTGAAATCTGTCAGAGTTGATAACCCAGTCACAGCTCCCCAACCTTTCTGAAACATCCTGGGAATTATTGAGGGTACTTTAACTAAGAACATGTTACCTGAAGTGTATGGTTCAAAGAATTTATTACATCGAGGAACACAAGCCACAAAGAAAAAGCTGATTAAGGAGAGGATGCGAAAAAAACAACTGTCACTTTAACTTGAATAAAAGAAGATAAATCTGGTGTAAAAATGTAATTTGTGTGTTTGGTAACACAGTAAGAAAGAAATAGCCCTATAACCTTTAAAAAAAGTTTTTGTCCCTAGTAATCTATCAAAGACTATCATGACTGTTCTCTTTTGAATATATAGGTGTTACTTTCTATTCATATGTGAATCCTGCTCAGAGACGTTTTACAATAATTCCTAAGTAGTTTCCACTCTCTTCTCTGATCTCGTTTATCTGCCAGAATCCTATTCTTGGACGTAACAGCTTTCTCTCTAGCCGGGGCCCACATTTGAGTAGCACACTGGTGGGGAGAAACCATGGATCTTTGTTCACTTGCTCCCAAGTACATGTACAGTGGCCGACAGCAAGCCCTTATGGGCCTCACCAGGCCCTCCTAGGTTTCCCAGTTTGACTTCCTTTTCTCCTCTCCAGAAGTGCTCTTCCACACATTTTCTTTTCTCTTCAAGCTTCCAGACTCACCTCTCAGCCCCTCACTGTTAACTGATGACCTCGATTCTTCTTTTACCAGGAAAATAAAGTCGAGAGCCCCTTCACCTTCCCTTCACTAGACCCATCAACCTACGTGCATTTTTACCCAACTACTGAAACCCCTCCTCACCCCCATTAAAAAGGATGAACTGCTCCTCATGTTACTTATCTCTATGTTGATCACAGCTTTCTCCTAAAACAGTGCATTTGACACCCAGAAAACCACATTCGCTTGTTTTTTGTTTGTTTTTTTCTGCTATATCTCATTACCTTCTCAGTCTCCTTTGACGTACTCTGTTCCCCTCTCATCCACAGTGACTTCATTTCGTCTAGGCTTGAGTTCACACACACAGTTTGATCTCTCCAGTCCTGGACTTTCCACTAATTTCAGGCGCATGTATTCATGGCACACTTGGCATTTCCCCTTGGATATCTGCTAGTGCTTGAACGTAAGCATGTCCAAGGCAGAGAGCTCTTGGTTTTCCCTCCCAACCACCCCTTCTTCAGTCTTCCCCATCTCACCAAACATCACCACTCTCACATACTTGCTCTGACCTCAGCTACAGCTGTGATTAGTCGTGTTTCCACAGACTTCACCTCTCGTCTTGCAGCAAGTATTATTGGCTCTCCCTCCAATGCACATCCGAAATTCCCCTACTCTTGACCTCTCTGTTCCCACCATCATTATTTCTCATGGAGATTTTGGCAATGCTACCTTACTCTTTTGTCTGCTTCTACTATGCTCCTTACAGCCTGCTCTCCATGCAACAGGCAGAGTACCCTTAAAATGTAGTCTGATCATTTTTGTTTCCTGCTACAAAAGTTCCAAAGCTCCAATCGGTTTCCATCATATTTCAAATGAAATCCAAAACTGATCCCATGGTATAGAAGTTCCTCATGGTCTGGCCGCTGCTGACATCTCTCTTAATATTTTTCTCCCTCTTCTTTCGCTTAGTTTATACTCAAACAGCCTTCTTCTGTGCACTGACCTCACTAGGCCCTCTCTGTTATTAGCCGTTTCTTTTCTCTGAAATGATGTTCTCCCTATAGCTGGATCTCTCCATGAAATTTCCTGCCCTAATTGCAAGCTGTATTGGAATATCCTATTCAAATGATACGCTGATGCTTTACTCAATTTAGACCTTCCATCTGAAATTGTGTGAGTGTGTATTTGTTTAGCTGTTGTCTGTGTTCCTATACTAGAATGGAAATACCTAGAGTTATTGGCACCTACAACAGTGCCTATACTGTAACAGGTATCGAGAAATATTTGCCACGTGAACAGATTTCTTTCTGTGTAATCCCTTGGTGGACCAATAGCAAGCTTTTCTGGGATAGCTGACAGGGATAGGGGATGCAGAGTTGGTAAAGCGAGATGAGAGGGAATCAAGGAATGAAATGAACATTTACTGAGCTTTTCTCTGACATAGCCAAGCTCTGGAAACCCCCCTTTCATATGCCAGGCCACTCAAGTGACTTGTAAAACCTTCTGAGACATAACTCAGACCCAGATCTTCCTGACTCTAAGTTGAACATGCTTTCCATTTCTTCATGTTGCCTTCTCTGGAGAGATGCTGGCCCCAAAACGCGCCAACTCTGAAGGTTTCGCAGAGGACCGAGCCAGCCTGGTGAGCTCTCAGCTGCTCGTTCGCCTTCGGTTTCCTCCTTCCCCTCAGAGACCCCCCTTCCCATACACACCACAGCAAATCAATAAGCATAGGAAGTCAGGACCTTCTATAAATGATAACCCTGAGAATGGAATGTATCTTACTCATCTTTATATCCATCCCTCGGGACTCAGTGCTTCCTTAGCAAATGGCAGGGATTAGCTGAATATACACTGAATTGAATTAGGAGGAGTGATGGTTACCAATGTGACATCAGTAGGATTTATCAGTAGCTAAGAGCTCTTTTAGGACAAGGGAATGATAATTCAGCAGCAGTGATTTATGAAAGTGTCGGAACAAAGCCCATACATATAGAAGGATTTTGAAAAAAATAGCTTCTACTTTAGTCTTCAGCTTAACATACAGGTGTTTTAGCTGTGAATATTTGCTTCCTTTCTTTCCATTTTATTGTCAGAGGTGCACACATGCACACTCCACAGAGAAGGAGAAAGGAAGGACTCCTCCCACCACTGGTAGGGCATGATCATGCTGCAATCTTTCTTCCTGTCAGGATTTGGGACATGCATGTACACAGGGCCAGTGTGAAAACACTAGGGCTGGGGTTTCAACCATGGTCAGTCAGGTGGGATCTGGCTCTTTAACTCTAGGCTACTGGACTGGCCATCTTTGATTTCTTTATATTTTAGGATATGACAAGTCATTTTATTTAATTTTATTATTATCATTTAAATTTGCCAGAAGGCATATGCACTATCCAGAGAGTTTTTTTTGAGCAAAAATGAGAAAGTACTCCTGAAGAACGGTCATGCTGCAATCTCTTCGCCTCCACTTATCCCTCCTTTTGGAATTTTAGACATGCTTGTCTAGCATGTTTTGCAAGCCACTGGGTCTGGGACTCAAAGCAAACTGTTTATTTAATTGGCCATGCAGGATCCAACTCATGTAACCACCAGGCCATGGGCCGGCCCACTATTTAATTTTTAACTCTACTGAGAACATTAGACTTAAGATATAACAAAGTAATTTCCTGGCACATAAAACAAGAATCTCACTTTTTTTTTTCACAACGGAGGCCTAAGAAACTCACGAGAACAACCTGTCCATGTCTCAAAAGAATCCATTCGTGGAACTTGTTCTTCCTTCCTTGGAAACTGATTATTCAAATCCTCAGAATTTTGCGGAGACAGGTGAATAGGTAACGCTTAGAACACTTCTCACTGGCAACTTTTAAATAGTAAAAGTACTTACCGGCTTTCCTGAGGGTCCTTCTGGTCCAGGGAAACCTATATCTCCAGCAGGCCCTCTCTCACCCTATAAGCATGTCCACAGACAAAAATTAATGGCCAAAAAATGCGTTAAAACTGCATGCAGTACAACACAAGTACAACTGCTATGAAAGTAACCGGCAACTTACCGGTTCCCCTGGGACGCCTGGTGGCCCTGGGACACCAGGTTTTCCCTGGTAAAGTAAATTGAAGAAAAATATTAGGAATTAAATTAGTGAATGAGGCCATGCGTTTCTCTTCTCCACCTTTGAGTCTAAAATGCTACTAGGGCTCTGGCTGTCCAAAATAAACTGGCACTGCTAAGGAAGAGAGTTCAAGGGGCACATACTCATCTCTGTAGGCTGTAAGGTTCAGAGTGAAGTACAGTCCTCTGAATGCACATTCATATAGATGGCAGAGAGATGAAAGGGGAAAATATTTCTGAAAATATTAACTCAAAGTATCCTCATAATTGGAAATCCCTTGTGTACCTATTTTTCTGATGGCTCTTTTTTACTTGAGGGGCAGGAGGGGTACAGAGGGTCAAAGAAGTCCTCCCTAGGTTTCAAATTTCACAAGAGAGTTTTTAAGTTCATAGTAAGAGAGCTTAAATTTTTTGTTTGTTTGATTTGAAAGCTGTGCTTTGTTGAAAGGTGAGGGAAAGATTGATTTGTTTTAATACACCGTGGCCTGGGTGATTGACAGTAGGGAGGCCTTGGAGTATGCATAAGAGGGAGAGGTTGTAAAGATAATCTGAGGACAATTTTGTAAACAGAGTTCCAAATAGGTTGCTCAGAATGGTGGCGAGGCAGAGCAGGGAGTGGGGAGGGAATGGAACTAAACGTATGAATAACTTTCAAGAAGAATACCTCCTTTTATAAAAAATTCTGAAGATCTTGTTAAATAAAATATTTTCATGTTTACGATCATACAAATATTTAACTTGATCTAAAATAACTAAGCAAGGGGATGTCATCCTCTATAAAAGATGTCAATTATGGATAGAATTTTATTTATTTATATTTGTTTATTTTTCATGCTAGAGTATGGGCAGGCACACATTAGAGTGAGAGAGAGAGAGAAAGAGAGACATCCTCCACAAGGCCTGGTCCTGATCAAGCCATGATCCCCTTCCTCCAGTTTTCTAGGCCCATTGGATCCTGGGCACTTGATCCAATGTGTTTCAGGCTGCCCAGTACAGGGATTCAAATTGCAGTTACCATGTGGAATATGACTTTTCTTGAACAGTGCATTACTGCTACGCCATGGAGCTAGCTCCTTATCTTTTGTTTTTAGATTGAACAGTGAAATGGAGTGAAGTAGTTACTAGCACTGTAAGGAATGAAAGTGGTGGTAGAGGCAGTGGGTGATGGCTGGGGGCTTTGGGTGGTGTTAGGTGGCGCCAGGTGGAATTGGGTATCAGGAGCTGCCAGCAGGTGGTGAAGGGAGGGCTCTTTCTTTTCTTTCTCATGTTCCCATGATTCAAGCACATGGTTTCCATTGACTTTCTTGTAACGTTATCCTGGACCTGCCCTACAGGGGCACCTAGAAAGAGGATAAATAGCCTCGTATTCATAAACCGTGACCACAAAATTTTAATTAGAGCATCATGAATGAAGATCAGACTGATCCCTAGGGCTCAGAAAAATGATTTCAACCTTTCCTGGAGCACTTCCTATTCATTTGAAAAGACCTTGATGAGATTAAAACATTTGACACCAGGGAGCAACAAAAATGATTGAGAGGATTGAAGGGCTAGTTTATGAGGAAACATTAGCAGCAATAAAGCCCTGCTAATAACACCGGGCTAAGGAATAACTCAGGCAGACTGCAGCTTATAAAAGGAACGTGAAGTACATGCCTGAGGATGAGAACTCTGCCTTTTGAAGCTTGAAAAACCTTGAAATATGACAAGAATAGAGAAACAAAACAAGCTTTTCAAAGGTATGCTCTTATATTAATGTATAGTTACAAGTAACTGGGTTTCCCCTCCTCCCCATGAAAGTGACCTAGGAAGGAAATAAAAAAAAGACAAAAGGAAAATAAGAAAAAAGGTGAAAAAAAGAATGGCGTATCCTTGAGCATAGGAGAGGGTCAGATGGTTTTATTTTTTGAAGCTACAGCTTTGAGAAACTGAATGCCACAGGAACTAAGGTGTGCTCCCAGCCCTTCTTGATTCTTGGTCACAGGTTTGTCCTAGAGATAGGACGATCCACCTGTGGACATAATGTGAGACTCATCTGAACTTACCGATATCCCGGCTACTCCCGGAGGACCTGCTGGGCCCCGATCTCCCTGTGGGAATTTAAAAAAAAATGCTACTTAAAATGGTAGATATAAAATCTCACAAAATTAATTCTCAAATACTAATTTGATAAAGCTTTTCTTCAGAGCTAACCAAATGTTATCAATATTAGCAGGTGTGAAGCTAGGAGGTAAGTGGGAAAATAACAAAATGAGTAGCCAGTTGAACTTTTTTTTTTTCATAAAACCAAAGTAAATAATAGTCAATGAAACAAGCATTTTTGTATAATTTCTGTGACTTATGATTAATAAAACTCCATACAGATATACAGTTAAAATTAGTCAATATTTTTATTTCATGTGTTCAAAAAGCTCATTATTATTACTTTAAAGATTAAACACATTGAGCATCTTTTACAAAGCTTTTCCCATACTTATCTCAGTAGATTTAGGGTTAACATAAAAAGATCTAGGACAAAGTGTTTATAATTTTTCTCCTCTGACCAATCAAATGATCCTTTTAATTGCTTTGAACAACACAATAACTTCTCTCCTTTTCAAGAGGAAATGTGGTATTTTAGATAAAGCTGATAATACCTCAAATACTGAAGATTATATATGTAATAATAAAATGGCAATTTTGGGGGGCAGAACCCACATTAAAAATATTTATAACTTAACTCAAGGACGTAAAAGAAGACTTGATTAAATGAAAAGATACGTTAAGGCAAGACAATGTTGTAAAGGTGTTATTGCTACTCAAACTAATTTATATATTTAATACAATTCTTACGAAATTATAGTTTGATAAAGTGCTATTAACGTTCACTTGGGATAATGAGTAAATGAGAGATAAAAGAAAAAGTAGAGATTTTCAAAATCTTCTTTGGAAGAAGCGGCCAGGAGTGGACACAGCTGGGCACCCAGTCTCTGTGTCGCTGCCTTTACGTCAGGCAGGACTGCATGGCCCTGCTGCCAACACTTGGGGTCTGGGAACCGCAATATTTGCTATGGAGAGAGCGGTAGCCTCCCCGCCCTGGGTGCTGCGCGGACCTAAGCCAGAGAATCTGATCCGGCTGCGGAGCAGCGACCCCGCTGGGAACAGACGTTTGCTGCAGAGGGCGCTGTTGCCTCTTCACCTCGAGCGCTGCGGGAACCAGGAGCCTGAGAGAGTCCGAGCTGTGGCTCCGACCGAGCAAGCACTCGGACCCAAGTCCCGGCATCTGAAATATCTGCGGGGAGGGAGCTGTTGCCTCTCCGTCCCGGGGTGCTGCTGGAACTGGGAGAGACAGAGAAGGCTGTGGTGTGAACAGGAATTGGGAGTGCCTGCCGAGGGGGAAGAGAGGCGGCTGGGGCAGCGCTGTTTGCAGAGGCCGGCAGGATCGTGGCACCAGAGCTCCAGGGCGAGTCTCACCAGAGGCAGCAGCGCAGTACCCCACCATTGTCTGGTTCACGGGGAAGGAGCAAGACCACTAACTAGAAAAACCCACCTAGCATCTCAGGATAGAGTCAAGACTGACGAAGGACAAGATAAAGATGACAGACAGCTCTGGAGCACATAATTTTTACTTGGAAATGTGAAGAGGAGTCAACTGCCTGAAGTGGGTGAGGCCCTAGAGCAAGCTACTCCACCATATTGTGTATGGGAGAGAAAAGGACAGACACTGTCCTCCCTAACTGAAACCAGCTGAAAGACACAGCTGGCCTCGGCTGGCTCCCTCTGGACCACTTTGCCAGGGGCACACTTGGGACCCAAAGCTGTCTTTCCCTTCCAGGAATCACAGAATCTACTCCCCAAATTAGGAATAAATGAGTACTCTACCAGGTGCCTAAAAGTCAGTGCAGAGACACAAGAAATAAGAAAAAACAAGGAAGGGTCTCTCCCTGAAAGGAGCACAACAACTATACACCCACAATGAGTGAAACAGAAGAAATCACAGAAGTGTTGGAAAGGGAATTTAGAATTCCTCATCATAACAAAACTTAATGAGATGCAAGAGAAGACTGGTAATCAATTCCAGGAGATGAGAAAATCATTTCATGACATGAAGAGGAACTCTAGAAAGAGAGATGATATAGAGGTTCCTCAAAAATTTACAAATAGAACTACTATAGGATTCAGTAATCCCGTTTCTTGGTATTTATACAAAGGACAGGAAAACACTTAGTTTGAAAGACATTTGCACATCCATATTTATTGCAGCATTATTCACAACTGCGAAGACATGAAATCAACCTAAGTGCCTAACAGCTGATGACTAGATTTTAAAAATATAACACATATACACTATGGAATATTACTCAGTCATAAAGAGTGACAAGACTGTCATTTGATACAAAGTATAGAAATACAGATCTAATGCTACTTGAAATAAATCTGATTATGAAAGGCAAACACTATATATCCATGCTTAATATATATCTTTTGTCTGTACTCTATGTCAGAAAAAAAACTTGAAAACTAGTAATATCAATATTAAACATATAATAAAGCTATAACAATTGGAATAATGGAATATTGGCATAAGAGTGAACAATTTAGCAATACTACACAACACAAATCTCAAATATAGGCCGGTATTTATTTATTTTAAGAGTTTTTTGCTATAGGGCATGTGTGCTCACCAGAAAGACAGAGAGAGACAGAGAGACAGAAAGGGAGAAACCCCCCGCTGGGAAGATGGCCATGCCACAATCCCTTTTTCTCCATTCTCCTCTCGGGATCTTGGGCACACACGCACATGCGCCTGGCGTGAGTTTAAGCCACTGGGTCTGAGACTTGAACCACGATTGACTACGTAGGAGTCTGGCGACATAGCCATTATGCCAACTGGTTATCCCTAGGCCAGTATTCATAGGCCAGTATTTATAATAGGAGTATAGTGAAGAAAGGGATATATTATTTAACAGTGCTAATAATTAGATCATTTCTTTTTTAAAGTTTGAGTTGTTTATTCACATCATATTCCTTATAAATTCCATATATTGGGTTGTTGGAAAAGTCATGATGCATTTTTGCATAGAAAAACAGAAACAAAGACATCATGACTTTTCCAACAACTCAATAGATTCATGTAAAAAATAAAAATATGAACTTATAGCGAGAATATATGTGTGGCTGATTTTTGTCTTATACTTTTATGCATAAAAACAGTTTTAGATTTAATTACATTAAAGTTATATTTACAATAAGATAAACATAAAATTGAAAAGCAAAGACTAAATAGGATAAAAATACAAACATACAAGATAGAAGGAATAGCTTTAACATATAACCACTGTGAAAAAGAAAAAAACCAATAATTAGAAAATGGGCAAAGGCTATAAAAAGGTAATTTCTATTAGCTTCACTCTACTTCTTTTAAATCATGGAGTTTTCAGCCTTGAAATGAATATTTTGGAGCATTTTATTCAGTGTAAACATCTGCAGGTCCTATAAAAGACTAATGTTAAAAAACTTCCTTTGATCAGATAGTCCTTCGGACATCTGGGTCTCTCGTATCTTTGAACCACTGTTCTCTAATGATGTTACCTCTTATTCTTATAACTATACCTGACACCCGATATTCTTGTCAGTAAGAGTGTCTGCACCCCCTCCATAATCTCAGTTTTATGCATTCCAACTTTGGAGTGCCATTTCTCATCATTCTAACTCACTCCCTCAAGTATCTTGACCCCCAATCCATTAATAGCATAAATTTTTCATTATCTTTCACTCCTTGGATGTCCTCTCTCTCTTCTTTGCCTAGTTTAAATTCCATGGTTACTTGTTATAATAATTTCCTGTGTATACCATTAACTCTTTAGCCTCATTCTTTTTTTTTTCTTTTATTCATAATAGAATGCATGTGCGTACACCTGACAGAGAGAAAAACAGTGGGAAAGTGAGTGAGTAAAAGAGAGAGAGAGGGAGAGAGAGGAGCACCCTCCATAAATCTTGTCATGCCATGATTCCCTTCCTTTAGTCCTCCAGCCCATCTGATAACAGCACCTGTATGCCCTGGTCTAGGGATTTGAACTGTAGTAGTTGTGAGGGATCTGGCTTCTTCTGAGTAGAGCATTACTGCTGCACCACAGAACTGGTCCCCATTCTTGCTCTGGTACTTACTCATCAAAACCCGATCACTGTTTAAATCCAACTCTCCCCCTCCTCTGTGCCTTGATCTGAATACCTGTGCATGGCTGGAGAACACTTAATCTCAGCAACTGGTCTCACTTCAATTTGTGATTATGAACTTTAAGACAGCCATAGCATTGCCCAGCTCCCATGTTTCTGAGGTCTCTGAACTCTTCCCCTCTCCTAGAAGACCTTCCTTTTAAACGACCAGTTTCTTTTTCTTTCTTCACCCTCAGATGATGACATCGTTCCCTCCATCTCTGAGAAAACTTAAGTAATCAGAAAAGAACTTTTATAGACTCCAGCCAATACATCTTTTCACATATCCACATTTGCTCCCCCATACTCTTCGTTCCCAACTGTTGACCACTGATGAACTAGCCATGCTCCTCTCTGAAGCCAAGCTCTCCACTTAAGTAATAGCTCCCTTTCCTCTTAGCTATTTAGATGCTGTACCAGCGGCTTTCCCCTCTTATAATCACCATCCCCATCTTCCTCTTTTCTGCTGGGTCATACCTTGAGTGTGCTGGTATTTTTATGATCTTAAAAATGAGTTTCAGAAAATCTTGATCCTGTTTCCTCCAATAACCATAGGTCCATATTTATTTTATTTATTTTTTGCTTTTTTGCTTTTCTTAGGAAAACTTCTTGAGCATTGTTTATACTGTACTTAACTCTCTCTATATTTTTTCAATCTCTCTAAAGTCCACTGAAGTCCAGCAGCTGTTCCTGCCAATAGAGTGAAATAGAAATATCTTCTATGGTCAAGATGACCACTACATTGCTAAATCCAGTGGTCGATATTTGACCATCCTACTGGACCTGTTTGTAGTATTTGAGACCAACAGTCACTTGCGTCTTGGTAATTATCTTTACTTGGTTCCTAGAACACCAAGATTTCTTCTTACATCTCTGTTCACCTCTCAGTCTCCTTTCCTTGTTTCTTCTTTTTTCCTTGATCTCTTAATGTTGGAGGGCTTCATGGATAAACCCTTAAGCTTCTTCTCTTAAAAAAAAAATTATCATTGGGGCTAGCAGGTGGCATAGTGATTAAACCACTGGACTTCCACATGCCTGACCATGGTTTGAGCCTTGGAACCAGCGGCTTAAAACTCACACTGGGTGTGTGTGCATATGTGCCCAAAATCCTGGGAGGAGAATGGAGGAGAAGGGATTGTGACATGGGGGTGGGGAGGTGATTACTTGCTTTCTGTCTCTCTGTCTCTCTCTCACTGTCTCTCTGGCAAGAGCATGTGCCCTATAGCAAAAGTCTCTCTCTCAGAAAAAATTACCATCATTCTTACGGTGATTTTTCCCCCTATCTTTTGGCTTTAAGATAGCATCGATATGTTTAGGAAAGTCAAATTTATCTCTTTGCTTAGGTTCCTTTTCCAGTTTCTATAGTTTTATATCATACTTCCTGCTAAATAACTCTGCTTTGTTGTATTATAGATATCTCTAAGTTCGGACTCATGCCCAAAATTAAACTCATAAGTATCTTCACTCTCTCTAAATAGTTCTGCTTATATCCTTCCTCATTTCATGTGATGACCACTCTAATATTCCAGTTGCTGAGGTCACAACATTAGGGTAATTTTTGGCGATTCTTTATTTTCTTATACCCTCATCTAGCCAATCAGAAAATCCTGTTGCCTGTAATTTCAAAATGTATCACTACAGTCGCTGTTTCTACTCTGATCCACATCAGCATTAACGTCCACCTGGATGACTGGCATAATCCTCTGGCTTCCCTGTTTCCACCTTGGACCTCTGAGGACAGGTTTTGTTATTCTTCTATTCAGAAACCACCAATGGCTATGCATTTTACTTAGAGTGAAAGATAAAGTCCTTCCATGGCTGCTAATCCTCTTCGCTAGTGCTTCTCAAACTCCCTGTGGTGAAGAAGCAGGTTCTTATTTACTTATCTTCTAAAATATCATGAACCCAGAAGATAAGTATACTGACCACATGTACACAATTTTAGGTGAGTTACCAGGCAGGTTTTTACTCTCAATCTCTGTACTCACCTAGTCACAACCCGTAACAGCCTGCAGACTAGCATTGGTCTTCTGCTGGTCGCACTTGGAGCAGCATTGCTTTACGTGAAGAACCCGCCCTTACCTGTCCCCTACCTCTCTAACCTCATCTCCTGCCATTCTCCTCTCACTCACTCCCGGTCTCCTTGGATTTAGCAGGAAATCCCATATCTCAGAGCCTTTAGACCAGCTGATTGCTCTGCCTGAAACATTCTTCCTTCAGACATCAGGAGATTTGGCTAATTTCCTCTCACCTCCTTCAAGGCTTTGCCAGATCTTGCCTTCTAGAATACCCTATTTAAAAATCACAACTCTTGGGACCAGCAGTTAGGGTAATGGCTATGTCGCTGGACTTCCATGTAGTTGACCAGGGTTCAAGGTCCAGACCCGGTGGCTTAAACTCACGTGTCTGTGCGTGCCCAAGATTCTGAGAGGAGAATGGAGGAGAAGGGATTGTGGAGTGGCCATCCTCCCTGGGGGGTGATTTCTCGCTTTCTGATACCCTCATCTAGCCAATCAGAAAATCCTGTTGCCTGTAATTTCAAAATGTATCACTACAGTCGCTGTTTCTACTCTGATCCACATCAGCATTAACGTCCACCTGGATGACTGGCATAATCCTCTGGCTTCCCTGTTTCCACCTTGGACCTCTGAGGACAGGTTTTGTTATTCTTCTATTCAGAAACCACCAATGGCTATGCATTTTACTTAGAGTGAAAGATAAAGTCCTTCCATGGCTGCTAATCCTCTTCGCTAGTGCTTCTCAAACTCCCTGTGGTGAAGAAGCAGGTTCTTATTTACTTATCTTCTAAAATATCATGAACCCAGAAGATAAGTATACTGACCACATGTACACAATTTTAGGTGAGTTACCAGGCAGGTTTTTACTCTCAATCTCTGTACTCACCTAGTCACAACCCGTAACAGCCTGCAGACTAGCATTGGTCTTCTGCTGGTCGCACTTGGAGCAGCATTGCTTTACGTGAAGAACCCGCCCTTACCTGTCCCCTACCTCTCTAACCTCATCTCCTGCCATTCTCCTCTCACTCACTCCCGGTCTCCTTGGATTTAGCAGGAAATCCCATATCTCAGAGCCTTTAGACCAGCTGATTGCTCTGCCTGAAACATTCTTCCTTCAGACATCAGGAGATTTGGCTAATTTCCTCTCACCTCCTTCAAGGCTTTGCCAGATCTTGCCTTCTAGAATACCCTATTTAAAAATCACAACTCTTGGGACCAGCAGTTAGGGTAATGGCTATGTCGCTGGACTTCCATGTAGTTGACCAGGGTTCAAGGTCCAGACCCGGTGGCTTAAACTCACGTGTCTGTGCGTGCCCAAGATTCTGAGAGGAGAATGGAGGAGAAGGGATTGTGGAGTGGCCATCCTCCCTGGGGGGTGATTTCTCGCTTTCTGTCTCTCTGTTTTTGTCTTTCTGGTGAGCACACACACTATAGTAAAAATCTCTAAACAACAAGAACAACAAAAAAATCACAACTCTTGCCCCACCCCCATAACAATCCTGATTTCTCTTAATTTGTTCTACTTTTTCCTTCTTCTCCCAGCACTTACCAACAATATAATTTAGCTCTTATGTATTCTCAGACCCAAAAGAGTTCCTGGCATAACAGTAGGTGCTCAGAAAATGTTTTTGCATATAGCATGAATGGACATATCTCTAACCTCTGGGCTTACCTTCACACCTGGAAATCCTTCTAGTCCTGGCAACCCCATTGCACCAGGCTCTCCCTGTTAAATATGAACAGAAAAAATGTAGGAGTGATGATCAAAAGCTTTGTAAACACTGCTTTCAAAAGCAAAGATTTTTATATACTTAGTCAATCCTCACCCCTAAACATTGATTTCCAGTCTACCAAGTAAATGAAATCCTCTGTGTTCAAGCAAAGTACTATTACATTTGATGTTTAGAAATAGTTTGAGAATAAAAGCTGCTCTCCAGAGAGATGTAAGTACATTTTATGATTAATTGTTTTTATTCTGAATAAGAATCTAATCAGAATGAATCCCTCTAGTCAGTGATAACTCCAGTTTTAATAAGAATTAGAATGAAAGTCTGGGCTTTACTAAAGCTTGCCAATTTGTGAGGTATCTGGGGCTGTTATGTTACCAAAAGAAAGGCTAAATTCTTTAAAAGTAGGTGAAGATAGAGCTCTCAAAGCAGAGTGTATTATCTTTAAATATATTTGCAGCTGGACATGAATTGTGAATGCTTAAGAGGCTACCTGAGGAACAGCATCTCCAGTGATTCTAAAAGTCTTTGCTCAAGCTGATAGGTCATTGAAAGGGGACAGGTAAGAGTTTTCCAGTTTAGTTTATGAACTAAACTATTCTAGTTTATGACCTCAGGCTAACAGGAGCCTGTGTCCTCAAGGAACAAACTTAAAAAACCATAGTGAAGGAAGCTGCTATCTTTGAACAAACATTAAAGCTTTTAAATCAAGAAAGATAAAAGGTGGATAGTTTGATCCTTCCTGGTTAATAAATTAATGTAACTGCAAATAGTTTCTTAGGACACTGAATGCTTAAACATAATAGCATAGAAAAGGGAGCTCCTAAACTTTATTCTCTGTAAATTCATTTTTCCAAATCTAGTCTGCTTCAAAAACTCGACCAAGGCTCTTTTATTGTTATTTAATCATTATTCATGATATTACCCTTACTACAGAATACTTAATGAGTAAGCATAAGACTTAAACTTTTCTTTCTTTTTTTTGAGAGGTTTTTGGCTATCAGGTGCGTGTGCTCGCCAGAAAGACAGAGAAAAACAGAGAAACAGAAAGCGAGAAATCACCCCCCAAGGGGGTTGGCCACGCTAGTGATTCTAAAAGTCTTTGCTCAAGCTGATAGGTCATTGAAAGGGGACAGGTAAGAGTTTTCCAGTTTAGTTTATGAACTAAACTATTCTAGTTTATGAACCCAGGCTAACAGGAGCCTGTGTCCTCAAGGAACAAACTTAAAAAACCATAGTGAAGGAAGCTGCTATCTTTGAACAAACATTAAAGCTTTTAAATCAAGAAAGATAAAAGGTGGATAGTTTGATCCTTCCTGGTTAATAAATTAATGTAACTGCAAATAGTTTCTTAGGACACTGAATGCTTAAACATAATAGCATAGAAAAGGGAGCTCCTAAACTTTATTCTCTGTAAATTCATTTTTCCAAATCTAGTCTGCTTCAAAAACTCGACCAAGGCTCTTTTATTGTTATTTAATCATTATTCATGATATTACCCTTACCACAGAATACTTAATGAGTAAGCATAAGACTTAAACTTTTCTTTCTTTTTTTTGAGAGGTTTTTGGCTATCAGGTGCGTGTGCTCGCCAGAAAGACAGAGAAAAACAGAGAAACAGAAAGCGAGAAATCACCCCCCAAGGGGGTTGGCCACGCTGCAATCTTTTCTACTCAATCCTCCTCTCAGGATCTTGGGCACGCACGCACAAGCGCCTGGCATGAGTTTAAGTCACTGAGTCCGGGACTTGAACCACGGTGGACTATATGGAGTCCAGTGACATACCATTATGCCAACTGCTGGTCCCAAGACTTGAAAGTTTTAATGAAAAATCTTTTTAAATGTCCACTGATATGTAACTTGTCAATCAGAAAACAAACAAACAAAAGTTCGGATTCTATTCTGCATAAGGTTCTGTAAAAGAGGGTTTGGGTTGTTGACAAAAGAAATATACTCTGTGATCCTCTTTGCGTTTTCCATAGTCTTTAGGACAGAGGAAGCACTGAACTGATTAATATTTGCCTGAAAGTAGAAAATAATTAAATATTTAGTTGAAAGTCACCTGTAAATTAAATACAAAGGAATAAAATGGTTTGTCTCAGAAGATAATAGATTTGGTTAACTTGATCTTTTTCTCTAGATTGAGACAATATACAGTGTACCCTGGATGGAAAAATCTCACTTTGTATGCTGTAATGATGTACACTGAATGAATGCAAATAAATAAATTTAAATTTAAAAAAATAGATAAGAAACAAGAAATAGAAAATTATTTGTTGATGACATGTTTGGTAATATCTTTGATTGAGCCAATATGCAATGTGTACCAGATAGAAAAATCTCATTTTGTATACTGCATTGATGTACAGTGATTGACTGTAAATAAATAAATAAAATAAACAAACAACAACAACAAAAAGAAAAAATAATAAATTTGGTTAAGGGTAATATTCCTCTTTAAGGATTTCCTGAGCAGATTAGAAAGAATGATGCAGATCCACACCCATAGAATTTGAAGAATGCTAAAAGAGTAAATTTCCCCCTACTCACCACAAAAAGATCTTTCAATTTTACACTCTGTGACCTACAATTATACGATTCCTGGCTTATTTCAGTGACATGAAGTATCATTTCCCTGTACCAGGAAACTGGTGGGAGATGTAAGAGTTACATAGGGGTTCTGGGTTAGGACCTAAAGAGTAATTTAAAATTGTTTTTCTAGGATAAGCCTCAATATTTACACAGTATTTATTTAATGTTGTGATTCCATATTTCTGTAATGCTTAACTCACTTAATTCACATCTAAAAGCAGGGAATACCCTTCAATTAATTTTTATTCTTTATTCTTTGTTGAAGCTAAGAAATTCTAAGCCTAAGTTTTTCTAATTCTACTCAAATATTTCTTTGTTGTCAGTCCTGGTGCAGGTGAGTTATAATTTATACATTAGTATAATACTTTTTAAAAAGTTCTCATCTTAATCCTCAGTTCTTATGGCAAGAACTCCAAAGAATCTTCCAGAAAATTCAGTGGGAAGTGTAGGTATACCTAAATGATTCACAGGAACTGTTTCATATTTGTGAGCATGAGAAGGAAAGAGCAGCAGAAAATATCTATCATCAAGAGGAAAGAAAACTAAAACTATAATGAAAGAGAAAATTACAGTTAGAGAAGGTCAGAGTAGTAAAACAAAGGAAACTTCTAAATGATCTATTTGGGGTTTAGAATATGATAATAATTAGTTGAAATAATGTTTTCAGTGTGAGTTCCAAGCTGCTGGGTCTGGGACTCAAATTGCAGTTGGCCACATGGGAGTTCACTGCCTTAACCACTATGCCATCTGCTGGCCCCATGAGCTCTTTAATATATCTCTTGAAAATAAATTTAGATGTAAAAAGACTACTTTTTTATGGCTTATTCCTTTCCCAGTTTAAAATTCATCCACTGAGTTTTACTAAACCGTACTATAATGCAAGACCTTTTGCTTTTTATCCCATGGCCATGGATAGTGGTTTGAAAGTTTACTTCAGTTTTAGGTCCATTTGAGTTTCAAATATATACCCAAAGGTTAAAAGGCTATATAAATGAAACATGAAGGATAGAACATATGCTTGAAAAAAACATGACAGGAAAAAATGCCAAGGAATAAAGGGAATCTAATTGAATTTGGCAGAATTTATACAGTGCAGTTCCGTGGTTGAGAAAGATGCTGAGAACAATTATCATCCTTTGAACGGCTGGAGGACAGGATCTCCTTCCATGCTGAGTGTTAACCTCCTGATAAATTTCTCCTAATATGCGGGTTGATGATAAGTACACATCTCCTGCAGAATAACTGCCCAAGACATCCAAAGCAAGTAATCAGTTCCTTTTTTGTTGTTGGTGGTGAGATGGCAGACATACAGTATTAAGGAATTTCTTTCTAGTAAGTATTTCTCTTCCACAGTCTACTTAAAATCGAATCAATCATCAAAAAAAAGAGCTATTAGAAGAAAGTGTCCCATTTATCATGGGCTTTATATGTGTCTTCTTCCATCACAGGATGATTTTAAAAACACCCCGATTAAAAGAGACGAACCTCAAGGGCAGTGACAACATCAGGACTAATGCATCTTAGAAATAAAGAACACATTGCTGGCATTTCTTTGGTGGCCTGCTTGTCACCTTCTACATGTGAATTGATGAACACCCAAGAAGGCAGGCCATCTCAGCAAGATGCTCCTCTTTCAAATGTTAACTGAGACTTATTTTTAAAAAGACACAAAACATGGAAATATACACACCACTGGGCCAGTATCGCCTTTTGGGCCCTGTAAGAAAAACATAGAAAGTCATTTTAAAAATAAAAACTAAAACAAAATTACAGAACATGCAGCATATTTGTCCAATTTGCTTCAATATGCAAAACAATATTTTCAAGTTTTGCTTCTGCTACGGTTAGGATTGGAAGAACAACATGAAGAAACATTTAATCAATGGGATTAAATGAAAGCAATTGCTTGGACATTGATTTAGTTCATAGGTTTACAATGGAAAAAGCAACATCGCTATGCAAAATGCTATTTTTCACTATTTGGGTTGTGCACATTTTCTTAATTTTTTAATCATTGGGTTCAGTTATTTTCTCTTGCTGTGAAATTTGGCTATGTTTATAGCATGCCTTTTTCAGTGAATTTTTTGTTTTGTTTTACTTGTTTCTTTTTACATTATGGCTGTTTGGTTAAAGTGTGCTTGACATTAAACAACTGTACTCACAGGGGGACCAGGTGGCCCTGGGTAACTGGGAACATTCACACCTCCCTTCCAAAAAAGAAAGAAAGAAAAGAAAAAGATGAGAATAACTTACAGCAACCTATACAGCAACTGAAAAATGACTGTAATAATTCTAAGTGCAAATACCTGGATTTTATATAAACTGCTCATGCCATTTCCTTCATTGAATGGTACACCCTTAGGAAAGAAATGAGAGATGGGGTTATTCTTTTAAGTTAATATTCAGCATCTTTACTTTTATCATGCTACCAGTTGATATTCCTCTTCTATTTTTAATTTAAAATAGTTAAAAATCTTCCCTACTCTATTGTAGAAAGTCTATGTAAGTAAAATAATACAATTCTACCACCTTTACTTTCCCAAAGCAA